ATTCAAAACTGTATGTAGCCCTGGTGAAGAAAATACTCTGCAGTTAAGGAAAGGATTATTCGCATTGACTTGATGATCCCAACTATGGTTGACTTAATCAGTATCATATAATAATTCTGCTCCTTTCTTAACACAGCCATTACACCCTGCCAATACCTCATAAATAATGGACTATTCCATTTTGATCATAAGTAAAGAGATATTAGAGATGTTGTTTTGTATCAGTGAAGTGAAAGAAAGGATGGTAGAGAAGGCAGTACATAAGGCTCCTATGTTTTTAACATCTCCTTCAGTGAAATGGTCATTTTTAAACTTCCTGATTTGTACCCTCTTACTTCTTTAAATAATGTCCTGCATTCATACTTATGCTTGTTATTCAATATTTTCTTAAAGTTGTTATCTTCAAATATTTGACATTACAACAGAGGAATTTGCATGTCTATTTTGTAGACATAGAACTTGCAAGAAGCTTATTCAATCATTAACTTAAAAATTATAATTGATCAAAAATTTTTATAATACAGACAGACAGAGAGCCATTTATATAACTTAGGTGATTACCATTTCTCAGTAGAAAAAAAAAATCAAGAACTTTCCCTTGAATCTGATTTTCCTAATATCATGCTGAAAATGGAGAATTGGATGACATTCAAAAGTTCTTCAAAGATTAAATTTTAAACTTGTTTTCTGATTTTTATTATTTCTTAATTTGTGTTTCCCAATTTACAATTCTGTTAGAAATAAATCGTCGTTTTCTCATTTTAAATGAGAAATCATAAAAAGTTGATACGATAGCTGAACATCTAAAAATGGAGACATCAAAAAAATGAAAAGTATCTAAACGTAGGATGCAACTTGATACCATTTTTTCAAATTATATATATTATATATATATATATATATATATATATATATATATATATATATATATATCAATCAAAGTTCTGTCTACCCATTTTTTAATAACTTTTTCAAATTTCTGAATTAGTTGTTATATGTAATTGGAAAATTTACCAAAGTTCATATTTATTTTTATTTTATTTTATCCAGCCCTACCCCAGAGTACTTTTGAATGTATCTAGATTCGTTTTCAAGGATTGTGTTTTGTGTATGTTTCCATAACTGTTTCTGGTTAATTCCGGTGTTCTTATGTTGGAACCAATTTCAAATCACACAGGGTGACATCATTTAAATGGTCAAACTTGAATTTTTATATGTATTTTTTCTTTTTAAGTTTACCAAAATACATCTTTATATATATAAGTATATTTTTCCTAAATATTGTAGTTCTGGACATGATAATAAACTACATCTGGCAGCAAGGCCTCTGAACGGGAGACTAGATGTTTTGAGGAGCATGGAACTATCTATTAATTGCTGTTGTTCCCAGGTCCACTTTGACCTGGGTTGGTAGCACCTGTTAGGGTCCCAGCTATGGGCAAATAATGAGCCCCAAACAAAAACAAAACATTATGCAAGTATAAAAATGCATTTTTATAGTAAAATATCAGCAATACAAATAATATTTTATATAAAAAAATTGGCAACAATACCTATTTATTGTAGAGGAGTTGAAGGCATAAAATTATTATTAGATTTTGGCATCAGATAATCCATAGAGATTGATATGGCACTAAACAAAATCAACCAACATGAAAGAACACTTTCATCGCATTAGTCCATATAATATCCTACAATTTCTTAAAAAATCAAACTGTATTCCAAAACATAACTTCAACAAAACTACAACATAATATACATATAACTACCTCTTGTAATTATGTCCACACAAACATGTATATGCACAAAAGCTGAGTATCATCTACCATATATACAATTGTGAAAGCAGAATAATATATACATACTTTTATTACTTCAAAGCTATCAAAAGAATTAAATTTTGGCATTAAATAACCTATAAAGAGTTGATATGCCGTTAAACAAATCAAATCAATCCTAAGTATAGAATTTTTCAGGATAACTTCATGTTTTTTTTTCTTTTTTTACCAGTTGATATTATTACTACTATTTGACTAGTAATTCTTCCATTTTAATTTCAGTTGCTTTTTATTACTGTATTTATTGTCATTGACAATGCAAAACATTCTTTTGTCTAATAAATGAAATAAGACTATATGAGGATGTTGTAAAAGTACTATGTTTTCAGCCATATTTAATCAGAAATGCTTACATTAATTCCTGAGTTCATTTTTCCTGATTTTTAGTCTGTTTTAATTAAATTATTAACAAATCCTTTACATGATAATCATAATAGCTAGACTATCAGTAATGATTGCATTAACTTCTGGCTGTTAATCTCTTTCTTCATTTTTAATGCTTTCCTACAGTAAAATTGTTAACAATGAATTTTAATTATATATACTCTTTCTTCATTTTAATGCACCTCATACAAAGTGATTGTATGGATAAATTGAAACATTTGAATCAAAATGTGCAAAAATTTAGTGCTTAATAAAAATCCTTGTTTTTCATAGCAAAAATGTTTGGGTAGTGGTGGAGTAAAGGTAAAGCTGATGGGCAGCAGTAAGAAAAGACAAAACTTTTATCTGATGTACAGGGTGTCCACAAATGTCATAAATTTTTTTATGCATTTCTTTTTTGTTTTTTGCTTTTGTTTTCAGAACTTAGGTTAACTTAGGTTAACATATTGAAATAACCCAACAAAAAATTCACAACTGAACAAAGAACAAAATTCCTGGAATTTTATTTTGGTTTTTAACCAAGTTTTTGGTTACCAGACAACTTCAAGAAATTCTGATACTTTATGGTCATAGAATTCTCTTGATCTGATGCCTATCAATTATATTTTTGGAACTACCTGAAGGATTTTTAAAGAAACTCACAGACAATTCAGTAAATTCGAAGACTGCAGCATGAGTTATTAACCATTGTTATGGAGAATGATATCAAAAGAGCACATCTGTGTGAAGGTGAAAATGGAGGTTTTTAATCTGAATATATTTTTAGTGTTTGAATTTTCATTCAGTACAAATCTATTTTTGTATGATAAAAAATGTTGAACCTAGGTGACTTCTAACACACCATGTATATTAGGTTCAAAAACCTTCACTAAAATACAATTGTGTAATCATTAAAGTAAACAAAAATTCTGATGGGTTTGTTTAACATATCCTACCTGTGATATCTCCAGTTTATAATATAAACAGTTATCTATGATGGAATAATTACACAATGACATTTGTGATTATTGACAATTATTAGCAAAATAAAGGCAGTAAAATTCAATAAAATTACAATTTTTAGTATAAAATAATATCACATTCCTACAACCCAGTCTATCCTAAAATTGTAGGTTCAATAGCCTTGAGTGGCAACCAGTCTAGCAGAAAGAAAATTATGAATTCAAAACTGTATGTATCCATGGTGAAGCATATACTATGCAGCTAAGGAAAGGATCATTCGCATTTACTTGATCATCCTAACTACAGCTGACTTATCTAATATCTTATTATAACTCTGCTTCTTTACTTAGCACGACCGTTACGCCCTGCCAATACTTCATAAATAATGGGTTATTCCATTTTGATCATAAGGAAAGACATATTAGAGATGCTATTTGGTATCAGTGAAGTGAAAGAAAAGATGGCAAAGAAGGCAACAGATAAGACTCATGTATTTAACATCTGCTTCAGTAAAATGGTCAATTTTAAACCTCCCCATTTGTACCCTCTTACTTATTTAAATAATGATCTGCATTCATGCTTATGATTTTTATTGCAATATTTTGTTAAAGTTGCTAAGCTCAAATATTTCACAATATAATCGAGGAATTTTCATATGTATTTTAGAGTCATAAAACTCACAGGGAGCTTTTTCAATCATTAACTTAAAAATTATAATTAATCAAAAGATTCAAAACTGAAAAGTTTCATGGATACAACTAGAATGAGATTTCTTCCTACATGCTCAATTGCTATGTAATATCAGTCCTTCTACATGGAAGTGAATATTAGATAATTTTCTCACAGATGAAGAGGAGACTTGAGGCAATAGTAATGCAATTCTACAGAAGGATGCTGAGAATACCATGGACAGAACATGCAAGAAACAAAGAAATTTCAAGGAAAATGGGAAGAAAAAGGATGTTTATATTTGGAATCAGAAAATGTTGACATTTCAAGGGCATATAATGAGGAAAGAAGTCTTGAAAAATTTAACACTCACAGGACATTGTTTGTTTGTTTTTTTTTGTCTTTTTTTTTATCAGTTTCACCCAATGCAAGACACAAGGGGTTACTGGGTGTGGATGAATTAGGAACAGAAAGATTAATAATGATTGGGATGAGAAAAGAGTAATTGAGAGGACAGTAGATTTCGATTGACATTGCATTTAAATTTTTGAAGATCAAAGTTGGCTGGAAAGCATGGAGCCAGAAGGGAATTCCACAGGTAAGAAGTGTGAGAAAAGGAGCTGTTAGGATAGAAGTAACATCTAGTCAGCTCAACTGTAAATTGATGAGATTTTGATGCCAGTCTAGTACTGTGCTTAAATTCCAAAAGTCATGAAGAGCTCGTCTGAACAATTACCATGAAAGTATCTATAGAAAAGACACAGAGAGGCAACCTTAGTGACTGAAACTGAGCTGCCAAATCAGGACTAATAATATTGCTGGGAAAAAGAGAAACAGTGAATAACCTACTAGTGAGCTTGTGTAAATGGATTGCAGAACAGGAAAAAGAAAGGGACAGTAAAAAAAGACAAATATTGCTAATTGCCACAAAGGATAGGAAGTTGTGGAGAGCTATGATCACTCACATCCTGAAGAGACATGGTAAATAGAAGAATAAGAAGAAGTATAACAAAAATTAATATAAATGAGATTTCCTCATATGTATGATGAGGTGCTGAAAAATTCTCTGCCTAACCACACTTCCCAAAATCATTATTTTAATGAACAAACATCAGAGTATTGATTTTTGGGAAGTTGGTTGGTTCAGAAAGTTCTTCAGCACTCTCTTGGTCAAATCATACCGAAAACACTGGTTCTCATTCGATCACTGAAGTTAAGCACTGATGAACCTGGTCAGTGCTTAGATGGGAGACTGCCTGGGAGCTCACAAAAGGTTGATAAGCCATAAAAAACAAATCAATCAATGAGAACTCTATTTGTGTGTGTGTGTGTGTGTGTGTGTGTGTGTGTGTGTGTGCACAAGGGATGCTGAAAAGTTCTGAGCCTGCACAAGAAAAGAGATTCTGATGTTTGATCATTGGCTCGGATTTGGGAAGTTGTTCAGGCCAAGAACTTTTCAGCACAACTTGTATATAAGGAGGCCTCATTCATATAATGTGTAAAAGTTATTGTAAAACTAAAGTTAAAGTAGGTCTTCTATTTTTTTTTTGTTTTGTTTTTGTAAACAATATTTGAACCTGTAGATATCTCAATGCCCAGAGCAAGAAAGAATACGATAGAATATTATCACATCAGCAAGCAAATAAAAACAATGATTTATTTTCCCGAAGCTGAGAATAAAATCTGAAGAGTAATGAATGCAATACAGATTTGATTGGCTTATCTCTTTCAACCTGAACAATAAACCAGGAAGTGGGAATCAAGGCAACACTGTCAATGCTTTTTGATGTTGCTTCATATCATGTCTACTTAAAGCATGTGCGTCCCTGTTGGCATGATAGGTGAGCAGCGACATGTGCAATCGTGTATACGTAAGAGAAGAAAAAAAAATGTTTGTATATGGCAAGACATGAAGGAGTCAGCAAAGATGAAAGGATGGAACAAAGCACATTGAAAGTGTAGGCTTTTAAAGAAGCAGAAAGCTTTCCTTTGAGTCTCACAATGACAAACAGCTGCTGCTGCTGCTGCTGCTAGAGATGTCGACAAATACAAATTTCTTATTGGTGCTTTCAAGCAGGAATTGTAGAAACATTTATCTACACCAAAGAGGTGTATTTAGAAAAGATCTTAATGGAACATGCATGCTTGTATAGAATTTGTAAGAGGATACGTGCCCAAATGCTTGAAGAGAACCATATTGCAAATGGACCTTTTTTTTTTTTTTTAAAGAATATTTCAGTGATATTTTATTGAAAACAAAAAGCAAATTTCTGTCTGAATTTCTAGGATAGGGAGCTATCATTATTTACAGTTGAACTATTGTCCTCATCTTTGTTATCGTTATCACAATGTTTCGGCTATTGTGCTCTCTGGCCTTCATCAGGTGTTTGTCAGTGTGGGTAACCTTCAAAAAATTTTGAACTGAACCCTTTATCTATTTATGATTGATTTGTTTTCTATGGCTTATCAACTCTTTGCAGGTTATTGAAATCCAGAATATATTTTTAGATTGTAAGAATTTTTTTTGTTGATAATAATGAGTTAGTGATACTAACTAATTAACCTATTTTTTGTTGATAATAATGAGTTAGTGATACTTACTAATTAACCTATAGATGGGGGAGAAGAGGTGGATTCATACCTTTCACAAGGTGAATCCTTTATTTAATCTATCGCAGTTGAATGTTCTACTCGGGATATTTCGTTTTTTGTTCATGGAAGTAGATTCTTCTTATTCTGCTGTTCATGCCAAGAAATATATCTTGTTCTTGATCCTATTTAATATTGCCCAATTATTGCTTGTGCTGAGTAATAAATAAGTACTAGATCAGATATCCCTAGATATGGTCAGCAGAATGAAAACATTCTACTTCAAAGATGAAATAAAGGATTCAGTTTGAAATTCCCTAAATTGACTTGCACCTAATGGTTTGGTTTGGTTTGGTTTCGTTTGTTTTACAGCATATCAACCTCAATAGGTTATTTAATGCCGACAAAATTTTTATTTCTGGTAATGTTTTTTTTTAAAAATGTATTGCTGGTAATAATTTTTTTTTTTTTTTTTTACAACGTATTTCTGGCATGAAAGCCTATTTTTACACTTACATAGTGTTTTGATCCCAGTTTGGGGGCTAACTATTTACCCATAGTTGGGACCCCAACAGGTGCTACCACCCTGGGTTAGGGTAGACTTGGGAACACAAGTAATTAAGAGGTGGTTCCCTGATCCTCAAAACCTCCTAATCAGAGGCCTTGCTGTTTGATGTAGTTTATTGTCTTGCCCAGGACACACAAGCATCTAATAAAGGCTACAGATCATAACAGCCAAAACGCTGTGATAACAACAACAAAGATGAGGACAATATAAATAATGTAGACAAAAACAGCAAAATAAATACTCAGTATATTTAATAATTAGAGAACCCTAAAAATACATTAAAATGCATTCTTTGAGCATGTATGAAGTTTGCAAGGGAATTAAATTATTTTCCAATCAAGCAATTAATTTTAAGTTAATTTTTCTGAGTAGAAAATAATTTCTTTAATGTTTTGTCATTAGCTTGAAATCATTATTTCCACCTTGTTTTTTTCTGATGTCTTCTGATATTGAACATCTTTTTTTTTTCTAAGATACAAATACTGTTCAGGTTGAGATGCAAATATGGACATGCTGCTGAGTGGTTAGAATGTTCACTTTCTGATCATAAGACCCCAGTTTGAATCTCACCAGGGTCGATTTGTCAGGAAGGAGACCTCTTGATATTATCATTCTGGAAGAGGCAATCACAGCATGTGGCACATTTGGAAAGTGCACAGGTTGACTCAAGTCTTGTGAGTGAAATTGGTTAGATGGAAAACTTTGGGAGCTGTCAATGGTTGTGATAGGTTGAAGTCACAAGTCATTGTGACCGAGGGTTTGAATGTTCTGGCCTTGTTCAGACTGTTGATCATGCTCGATAATGCACATTCTCCCAGAACTAAGGTCCACTCAGTATAGTTGCAGTATAAACTACAGGTAGGCTCTAAGGGTGTTGAACAAACATAAATGTACCTCAGCAGGTGTTTGCAATGGGGATTACTTAGCCACCCTAGTAGACAGGCATCCTTGGATACGAGTGGCTGCATTATTTTAGATGAGATACATAAATATCAAGACTTACTATTGGGGATTTATAAAAGAAAAAATAATACTTGGAAGACATTTTGCTTTTGGAGAAAGAATTAATTTTACAAAAGTATTAATAATTAAGTTTATTATTTTATGTCATACAAAGGTCAAATGGAAAGTTCATAGGCTGACCAAGATATAAATGTAAGCTGGTAGACTAAAAGACATGCAAGTGTACCAGAATACAACAGCTGGCCAACTAGCTGTTACATTCTTTGTGTAGTTGGTCCACAGAAAAAAGCTGTGGCCTAGAAAAACTTTGATCATCAGTGAAGATTCACTGACCATCCTTGATGATTTGTTTGAAATCTTTATTTTTTTCTCAGAACTCACTGGGGGAAGGAAAAAGCTATGTAGCCACGTCTTGAATGGCTTAGAGTCAGTCACATCTCTGCTGCTGAAAGTCAAAATCTGTGGATTTTTATAAGAAAGTTTTCCATTAGTAAGCTCGATAAAAATAGACTCTTTGTTTTTGCATGTCTTTTAGTCTATCAACTGGTGTGTCTACATACAATTACATCTTGGTCAGCCTATGAACTTTCCAGCTGACCCTTGTAATTACCATAAATTACTAAGTGGCAGGTTCATCACCATTGTGTTTCGAGTGGGGTGACTTTTAGTTAGTGGGGTCATAAGTAAAAACTTGCACACTAAAATTAGAACACATCATTTTTATGTTGGGAAGAGGTGATTTTCTAGGGAAGGAGACCCCTTGGCAAAAGGCCTGCTCAGAGGTCAAAATAGAAATACTGTATATACATGTGTAACAATCAACTTTTGAAGACCTAATTTTGAAGATAATTTTAGGGACTTTTCGCATCATACACGAGATATAAAATTATCGTATGTACTGCTGGCCCTGGCTACACTGTTGACCAAACTGTATATCCATTTACTGTAGTCTAAAATACAGCTGTATTTAAAATAAACATAATTTTAATAAAACTGATGTTTTACTGAACTGTATCCAATAATAATGCATGTAATAGTCACATATTAGTATTGTATTATAAAATATAAACATAGCAAATATACTTTTTTTTCATTGTTTACGTTTATAAGATGTTTAGCTGTTTCTTGTTCAGTTGTTTATGGCTGTACATGTTTTCACAATGAGTATAGCATTACTAACGATACTTTTATCATTCTCTTTTACTTTTTTAACTTATTCAACTAGAAGATGGGATAAAGACATAGAGGAAAAGAATTTAGTCTATTGTAATTTGGTCTCTCAAAAAAAGGAACTCGCATGATACACGAGGTACATGATAAAAGTGAAAATTTGGGGGTTGCATGATATGCAAAATTGTGTGTTACACAAGTATATACAGTAAATTCAATTTCAGATCTTCCTTTTATTAAATTTTGAATACAAATTGGAAAATCAGTGACCCTAACAGACTCACTGAATACTTCTGATCAATTTTATGAGGTGGTGTTGAAAAGTTCTCAGACTAAAAAGTAGCCAAATGAAAAAACATTTTTTTTAGTCTTTCTTTTTCTCTTTTTTTTTTTTTTTTTTAATCCTGTCTTGGTTAGAGTGAGAACTTTTTAGCATCTACTTATAAAATATGTATACTATATGTATATATGTAAAATATATATGTAAAATCATAAAATACTGTATTTGATGGCATATAAGGCACACTTTTTTTTTACTAACAATATCTTTTAAAATTCCCCTGTGTCTTATATGCCATATGTAGGTTTAAAATTTACAATAGTCGACAGAAGTTAGCTACCTGGCAACACCTATTAGCTTAGACTTTAGAGTAACTTTCTTACACCTATTATCATTATTTAAAAGACTATTATGTAGATTAAAAGTGTTATTGATAATATTCATTATATTTATTTCATCACGTTTAATATTGGTACTTTGTTTCACTAAAATTATATGCAATAAATTCAAATTATATATTTGTTTCATTAATATTTTTCTTGTGATAACTCCCAGTTGCATCGGTATAAATACAATCAGAATTTTTACATCCTAATTGTAAAAAGATTTTACAGATCACATAAAGGATATAATAAAGCTTTTATAGGCTCATAATCTTTTTTTCTATTATTTTTCATTTAATCATGGCTTGTTT